CGTGAGGTTGTCGTTCACCGTCTCTATGAAGTTCGTATCTTTTCTCCCTAGGGAAGTTTGACCAAGTCAGGTTTTCTTGAAGATATGTTTGATTAACATGTTTGTTATGCCCAGTGGAGCAGGTCTCCTATTTTTCTAGGGCAGTGTGCATAGAAGAATTCCATTTAGGGTTCTTTTATCCCTAGTGATGGAGTATTGCTGAAATATTTCCTTAGTGGAGTTCAGAACCTCAAGCTTATGGTCCAAAGACGCCATTCGCTTCCTCAAGTGAAGATTTTTACCCTCGATGGTAGTACCCTCCGTGTGGCCTGGGTAGAATTTTTTTATTCAAGAATTTCTGTGATCCCCCAGTCGAAGTCACTTTTATTTAGGACTTACATCAGAAGATACCATTTCCCATCAAGATTCTCTTTATCATTGGAAAGAGATGTTGGATTTTTCCCCAGGAAGTTGGGATTTGAATCAGAGTTCAAAATTTCCTCTGAACTACAATTTATTTTTGCAATATTTTCCCCCAGTAAAGGCGTACTTTCACCCCGAGTATCCTACATTCTCAGTGCAGTCTGTTTCTTTCCAAGTTTTCTAGGAAGAATCATTTTACTCACTAACCAGAGATTTTGGTATATTCCCCTTGAAGTCAACAGTCTATGGCTTCCCCAGTGAGATTCGCACTTTTTCTCCCTAGGAAGTATGTATTCTCTTACTCAATGAGGGATGAACTCCCCTTCTCTCCAATGTGGCATGTCTATATCATAGTTGCATATAGAAATTCGTATTTACCAATGGGAGATTCTGATTTTATTTCCTCATGAGGACGACCATCATCTGTAATGAAGTGATTTCTGCTCACCAGTACAAAATTCTTGCCGAATCGAATCTTGCGGAGATGGCTACACCCAGTGCAATGGATATTATTGATGTTTCCATCTAAAGTTTTTGTGGCTCCCCGGCATAAAAGGCAGTCTTTATACCCAGTCAAGTCGAATTTCGAGAACCTGTCGAAGCAAGGTACCTATTATTCCCCAGTGGAGCTATTCTTCTTTCCCTAGTGGAGCAAGTTTCATGTCTCCCTAGTGTGTTGTGCATAGGAGTGTTAATCATAACTCGTTTCCCGTTGATAGAAGATTTTGTTGAGATATCTCCAATGGAGTTTCTATCCCGAGATGTTTGTTTCTTCCCCAAATGAAGATCTTTTACCCCCCAGCGATGTTATCCCCAGTGTGGTCTGAGTAGAATTCTTTTTATTTAAGAATTCTTATACTCCCTAATAGAAGTTATCTTCGTCAAGAAATTTTATGCCAGGAGTTTCCATTCCCAGCGAAGCTCTCCTCTTTCTAACAGAGGATAAAGAATTTGTTCCCCAGGAAGTTGGGAGTTTGATCATGATTCAAGATTCACTTTGAACTGCAATTTATTTTTGCAATATTTCTCTTCGGAAAGTTACTTCCCCAGTGATATCGATATTCAAAGGTTGGTGGTTCAGAGTCTTGGTGCTCCATTGAAGTTTAGATTTCGTTTTATCTACAGAAGATCAGATGTGCAAGCATAATCATTCAGAAGTTCATTGTCTTCCCAGCATTCGATTATTTATGTGATCTCTCCAGTGTATTAGTAAACATGCATCATTACATTTTATCTACCAAAACATGTAGCATTTCCATTGTATGGGTTATCACGCTATAAAAATAAATTCAAACATGCATGGGTATAATCCTATTATGTTTACCCTTGGTGACTAAATTGTTACGCACTTAGATTTGAATTATCTCCACAAGAAGCTTAGGGTGATTATATTCTATTTCCCCAGCGGAGTCTGTTTGACTTACCACCAGTCGGGTATTTGGTATTTCTCATTTCCCCAGTGAGTCGTGGTTTTCTCTTGTCCTTGCAAACCTTTTGTTCTTTTACCCATGTTTGCTTTGCCATTAGAGTGCGAGTGAGAGTCATTGTATAGCCTTTCTCTCTTCTCAAGTATTTGAGTATCCATACTTGGTTTGTGTTAATTCAGATAATTTCCACTCTAAAGAATTACACCCTGCCTTTGGCCTGAGGGATTTTGTAGTTCTTTTGTATTTGCAACCTATCAAAAGCCCAACGTGTTTTGGAAATTCTTGTTAGATTCTGTTTTGACCGGTCTCTTTCTCTTGTAAAGTTCACCTTTGATCGATGCTCTCTGAAGGTCCTACTTAGTCGATTCCTTGTTTTTGGTTTATCCGTTTTGATCGGGTCTACCTTCTGTTACCTTAGCTAACATTTTCGATTAGGTTATGTTTTGATCATTTCCTTCCCTTGTTTAGGTTCTGTTTTGATCAATTCCTTCTCTTTGGTTTATCCGTTTTGATCGGGTTAACCTTCTGTTAGGTTAGCTAACATTTTCGGTTAGGTTATATTTTGATCATTTCCTTCCCTTGTTTAGGTTTTGTTTTGATCAGTTCCTTCTCTTTGATTTATCCATTTTGATCGGGTTTACCTTCTATTATCTTAGCTAACATTTTCGGTTAAGTTATGTTTTGATCATTTCCTTCCCTTGTTTAGGTTTTGTTTTGATCAGTCCCTTCTCTTTGGTTTATCCATTTTGATTTGGTTTACCTTCTGTTAGGTTAGCTAACATTTCTAGTTAGGTTATGTTTTGATCATTTCCTTCCCTTGTTTATGTTCTGTTTTGATCAGCTCCTTCTCTTTGGTTTATCCGTTTTGATCGGGTCTATCTTCTATTAGCTTAACTAACATTTTCGGTTAGGTTATGTTTTGATCATTTCCTTCCCTTATTTAGGTTCTGTTTTGATCAGTTCCTTCTCTTTGGTTTATCCGTTTTGATCGAGTTTACCTTCTATTAGCTTAGATAACATTTCTGGTTAGGTTATGTTTTGATCATTTTCTTCCCTTGTTTAGGTTCTGTTTTGATCAGTTCCTTCTCTTTGGTTTATCCGTTTTGATCGGGTTTACCTTATGTTAGCTTAGCTAACATTTTTGGTTAGGTTATGTTTTGACCATTTCCTTCCCTTGTTTAGGTTCTGTTTTCATCAATTCCTTCTCTTTGGTTTATCCATTTTGATCGGGTTTACCTTCTGTTAGCTTAGCTAACATTTCTGGTTAGGTTATGTTTTGACCATTTCCTTCCCTTGTTTAGGTTCTGTTTTGAGCAGTTCCTTCTCTTTGGTTTATCCATTTTGATCGGGTTTACCTTCTATTATCTTAGCTAACATTTTCGGCTAGGTTATGTTTTAATCATCCCCTCGCCAGTTAAAGTCTGTTTTGACCAGTCTCTTTCCGTATGTGTTTGCTACCAACCCTGAATATGTACTTTTGATATATTTCTTGTCATTTGTTCACTACCAACTCTGAACAGATGTTCCTGGATAACCAAGTTCTTCTTCTGTGTGTCTAACCCTGGTTTGACATACGTTTATCCCTGATAACCTCTTCTTCTCAAAAAAGATGGAGCCAAAAAAATATAGAAAACCAAAGGTACAATAATATCGGACTAGCTTTGGAGTGAAAATTTTCGGGTTCTCTTAGTATTTAATCTTCTTCTCCCTAGAAAGTTTGAAAGGCTAGCGTCAATCTCACCTTCAGGTTTAAGACGATTAAATAGGGGCAGCTGTTGCACCCTATAATTTTCCCTCATAATTTCTGTTATATTGGCTTAAACCTTTACATCCAGTTGCACATGTTTCATTAGGCCACTAGCATAACATGCATTACATTCAAAAGGGCATTTGAGGTTCAAAAGATTAGCAGCTACAAATCTAGGGTTTATGACTGATTTGGGGTGTTTATGATTGAACAAGATTGATTATTCTGTTTCTTCTTGGTGCATAAGACTGGGAAATTAGGGTTTTGGTTCATGCTTATTTCTGGACTTTCCCTCCTTCAAGCTATAAGGCTATTATATTCTACTTAACAACAGGTTGCAGAGTGTTCTTGTCAACAACCTAAGATTGTGATCTCGCGTACATGGTCTTTGAATTAGGACACCTCATTTCATTATTGTACCTGTCATATGGTCAAGGTTTTGTCAATGCTAGAGGTGTACTAGGATTTCCCTCAAGGATCAAGTGTATTATCAATTCAGGATGCATATGATGCTTGGGTTAAAGGTCGCTTACTATATCATTGTTGCATTGAGTTCATCTATTCATAAGACAAAAATGTCATGATTCGAGATACCTGGGGGATAAGTCTGGTTGCTTGACGGTCAAGGCTTTACGAATGAGTGGCACAAACTATCACTTGAGTATTTGCCCAAGAACTTTGGTTTCAAACATAGATTAGAATTCAAGCTTTATCCAAAATAAGGCGTGCCCAAAAGTTTATCTCATAAGTTCTTGCATAAGAAGATGCCAAGAGTTCATAAAGTCAATTAATCATAATGGCAGTGAAATGTTGTGTTTGTAACGCTTGAGTTTCTTAAAGTGGATAAAGGGTGTGTGCCCAAATGGGCGCAAGTTCAAGATTCATCTTTATTTCATTCGAATATTTTATCCGCGAGTTCAAAATCATTTGAAAATAGAACAAGTGGAAATTACTTCCATGGCTATTCATATTATTCAAATCATTCGAGTTCAACCACTTAATTTCAAACTTCAAGTGCTTTTCCATTCACCATGATTATCTTTTCCATTCATCATGATTATCAGTTGTTATATAGAAATTCAAGAGGATGAATTATGTTTCAAGAAGATTTTTATAAGGTTCAAATTGATGCATCGTTCATGAGAAATTTCAACTCAAAGTTTTAAGTGAAGAAAAGCATATTCAATATTATTGTTCAAGTGGCAATTCTACTTGTTTCTATGCAAAGAAAGTTTCAATCTTAATCATATACATGAAAGTTTTCTTCACATGGTACAAGAAAAAAGATATAAAGGCTAAAAGTCTTAGACTTATGTCGTTTCTAATCCTCAAGCCAATTACCAAGAGCCTAATCGTCACCAATTCTTCCAGTTGTGTGTGTGTGTGTGTGAAACAAACCTGCTCCATGCCCTGTCAGGACACACTTACAGTCTACCAAAACAGATATTTCCAAAACCCTTGCCAATAATTTGCAAACCTGCATAACCAAAGAATTCACCATATAAAAATTGGAAGCAAATCGGTTGTCCAGAAAACGCAAACAGACTAAGCTAATCGAGCAGCCATAAGATAATAAATATTTAAAGAGATTTCTTCTCTTTTCTAACTTCTAAAAGATGTTTCAGATTGATTTCGACTATAATAGAATTTCTCTTATCTCAGTGTAACAGTACAAGGGAAAGGTCAGGAATGTTGGAGGGAATACCAGCCTATCCGTGAAGACAGAAAAAATATGAAATAAGTAGCTTGTTGCTTCCAAGCCGGCTGCCAAATACCAAAGTGCACATCAAAGAGTTTTATAATCAATTTCATGGTACGCCAAAGCAGGATATAACCAGGTTATGCATCAATAACTAAAAAACAACAGTCACGGTTTAATCAGAATATCAGAAATAATTCAAATTGTTAGCTCAATGAAGAAACAGTAGAAAACTAGAAAGTCGGGGAAGCAGAAGGGGGAAAGCGTGGAAAATCAAAACAAATAAGTAACCAACTCCCTATAACTTCTAACTGATTCCTAACGGCTTTTCAACAGAAAAAGAAAAAGGGGGTAACAAACTATAACATAATGATAAGAGGGAAACTCATCTTGGTTGGGTTGTGGCATTCATTCGGTAGAGTCACCACAAGATCAGAAACAAACTCTCTAACCTCTCTAACCACTCGCTCTTCACCCTCTTATCAGTAATAGAATCAGTTAGATCCTAGGGATGAGATTGATTCACCTCCAACTGAATTCCTAACGGCTTCAGCTATATAAATGATGAAAATTCCCCAGCAAAGGGTCTTCTTCCAGTTCACACACACCTTCTTCTTCCATCAACCTCTCTCTCTTTCACATAGTTCCATCTTCGTCTTCTCCATGCTTCAAACTTCAAGCCACAACCTCCATCTTCTTCAATCCACAACACTGAATCGCATCAACCTTCACTTCATTCTCTCTCTCTCTCTCTCTCTCTCTCTCTCTCTCTCTCTCTCTCTCTCTCTCTCTCTCTCTCTCTCTCTCTCTCTCTCTCTCTTAGAGTTCCACCTTGATCTATTTCTCCAATTTTCAAACTCTGCATAATCCTTCGAGCATCATCATCTTCTGCACCTTTAATCTTTCTACACAGTAACAAATCGAGACAGTAGGAACTCAAAGACTGGGGAATCACAAAAGAAAAGAAGAGAATAAGATAAACAAATAAGGGAAGAAGACAATGATTACCTGGGCTTAGCAATCTTCATCTCTGGTCTTCTCACCTTCGTCACTATCAAATCACCATCGGAGTGTCTCCAATAGGTAAGTCGTTGCAAACCCTTTCTCTCCTTCATCTTCTTACTTAGCCATTGATATGTATGCTGAGAATAGGTGATGTGAGTGTAAAGCCGCCTTTAAATCTTCTCTAACTATATTCACTGCCATTCAACTGGATCTTGAAGCCCCTAGGGTTTTCTATTATTTGGTGAAATTTGGGAGGGATGAGTAGAATTGACACGGGAAAATTAAAGATAGGAATGGAGATGTTGAGAATAGTGGTTAAGGGCGGAAACGAAGGAGGTGAAATCGCCGCGACTGTGAGAGGAAGGAGGAGGAATTGGGAATGTCTCCCAGAAAGCATTAACCTAATTCCCTTCATATTTTTTTAATTATATTAAAATCGTTTTTAGTGATATTCAGGCAAAAGGGATTTGAATCGACATTGGGCTAAGATGGGTTTTCATTGGGGCCTATCATTAGAGCCCAATCTACATTTTTTTAACATGTATCATTGAAAAAGGGGGGGAAGGTCATCATGATTGGGCCACATTACTTTGTTCAGTAAGCCCGTTTCAGTTTGTTTGGAACCAAGGATAATGGATAACAAAAACATTGCCTTGGGCTCAGCCTAACGGGCCAGTGGCTGCACTTGCTGGTTTACACCCCGATCCTATTCAGCACCCCCTGAACATATTAATTCTCTAGTAGATTTAGTTTTTTTGTGCGATGGAAAATACGTGATAAAGACTATAAAAATCTTAGATTTAGGTGCTATTTTTTTTTGGAATTAATCAAGAAGTTCATTCCCCCTTTTACTAATTTCTTAGACAATTTTTTTTTTAGTTTTATTCTTTTTATGTCATGTATTTTGTTTGCGATTTTTGGTATAGATTGTATACAATACGTTAATACTTGTTGTCTAATTTTTTTTTTGTATGTGCTTTCATGATTCCTTAGGAGATTTTGGTTCGAATTCAATTTTTGATTTAATTGAACTAAAATTGGACAATAGGCTTATAAATCCAAGCATGCAAACATTGGATAGAATTCCCTTGAAGCTCAACTTTAGGATCGACTATTGTATGATAACATTAGGGATAGATCTAGGTTAGTCTACCTTAGATATTTTTATTTCTTTTGCATCCTTGCATTAAAACAAAAAAATCTTTTTCGTGCAAACTTCAAAAACACATAAAAAAAATACTGACGAGATTCATACCTTTGTTGAGCATGGGAAATAATAAGCGGGTTTCTTCTCGATCTTATTGTTCTCCTATTCTAAGCTTTGTTGTGGTTCAAGTCTCAAAGACTTATTTCATGAATAAGTAGAGAAATGACTAATATCTCTCTCTTGAGATTAAATAGCCATTATCTACAAGCAAAAACACCAACAAATACAAACTTTTTACCTTTGGGCTTTTCTTCCGAAACTATTTTTAAAAGAGCATGTTAATTCACTTCTGTGCTGACGTGTAAGTCTCTAAAGGTCGAGCTGCGGCAGAAGGTGAAATTTATATCGTTCATTAAAAAAATACAAACCAATAAAACTTTTAAAGTCGAACTACGGCTGCTCTGATTCCTTAAAAGGGATACATTGGCATTGGGGTAGGGCCCAAACGAGCATAAATTTAATTTTCCCTACATTATTTTCTCCTTTATTTTCCATGCATTCTCGGTACAGCTTAGATATAGATTCTTACACACCCTTTGATTATAACAACAAGAGTGGATACCATGGAGTACTTCAGGCGTGTGGGGTGCTAATACCTTCCCCTCGCGTAAAAGACTCCCTTACCCATATCTATTAATCGTTAGACCTTGATTTCATCATTCTCAGGTTTACTCGATGTTTACCTTTCCCCTCTTGTGGGATAAAAAACGTTCGATGGCGACTTCATTGATTTCATTATCAGTTGATTGTTCAACCGATTTTTTCAACATGAGAGGGAAAATTTTGGGGTACAACAACATGATTCATCACGAGATAAAATTCTATGTCGATGATATGATAGCCAGGTCACAAACTGGAGAAGAACATATTGATCATCTACACAAGTTATTTGAAAGGATGAAGAAGTACAAGTTAAGGCTGAATCCAAGCAAATGCATCTTTTGGGTGAGGTCTGGAAAACTCCTAGGTTTTGTCATTAGTGGTAAAGGTATTGCAGTCGATCATACAAAAGTGAAATACATTCAAGAAATGTCGGCTCCCCACACCGAGAAGGAAGTCAGAGGTTTCTTAGGACGACTGAATTACATTTCCCAATTCATTTCTCATTTGACTGCTACCAGTGAGCCAATCTTCAAGCTGCTGAAGAAAGATCAAGTAGTAAAATGGAATGACGACTTTCAAATAGCCTTTGATAAAATCAATGAGTACCTACAAGAACCTTCGATTCTGATGCCACCAGTTGAAGGAAGACCTTTAATCATGTACGTAACAGTGCTAAAGAATTCAATAGGGTGTGTGCTTGGGCAACATGACGAGTCTGGTCGAAAAGAGTATGCAATATACTACCTTAGCAAAAAGTTTACCGACTGTAAAATAAGATATTCATTGCTCGAGAAAACTTGTTGCGCTTTGGCATGGGCTGCTCGCCGACTAAGACAGTATATGTTGACTTATACTACTTGTTTTACCACAAAATTTTCCCTCCCATATTTCTCAAAAAATGTCAAGTGAGGTCCTCACACTGCTCAAGAAAGTCCAAGAGTTGACCAGACAAACTCTCTCCTAAGGCAGTCTATCTCAAATTAGGGTTTCATTTTGCATCAAGATGCTTGAGTCTAAAGGATCCCAAATACTCACCGTTGTCCTAATATGTTCTCAAGATCATCCATGTCAAGTTTCAGGCCTTGCAGAGGAAGTTTGCTCAGTTAACTCCTCAAATGCCTGAAAATCGACTGTGCTAGGGCAAAAGTCAACTGTGGCCCACATACAGTCAAACTTCAAGATTTTTGGTCAACATTCTCATTTTTGAAGTATTATTCATCATTTGATCAAGGGTTGATCATGATTCCTCAAGGATTGCTCACAATTCATCAAAACCCAAAAGTTGCTAAATTAGGGTTTTGCAGGAAAAGTCAACTCAACTTTGACCAAGCATAACTTTCTCATAATTTATCAAAAATGACCCATCCAAAGCTCATTTTGAAGAGGATGTAATTCCATACAATTCATCTTCATCTCCCAAGTTCAAAATATGCACTCACAAGAAGATATGAATTTGGATATTATAGGTCATTTTGAAAAGTCAACATAAACACCTTTTGGGTCAAAGCTTTATACATGAACATGGAAGACACAATTGAGATGATACCAAAAGGGTTGCTTAAAGGACATCCTAATATTTCTAAAAAGTCCAATAACACATCTCTAGGGTCAAAATTGAGAGAGTTATGCATTGGCCAAATTGACCCTTTTTGCAAAATTGCCAAAAGTCAAATATGTCCAAAATTGCATTTTTTGCTAAATGGGCCTAACTTTTTATGCTTTCACTGAGTTTGTAATGTGATCCACGACCCATGAGCCCTTCCACTTGTCATTCTTTTATTTTTGTTATTTATTTTGATTTTATTTCATTTAAATCAAATAAAATCAATATAAAATAATGAAAATATCAAAAATCAATAAAACCTTGAGATTTTGTGCATGATTAGAGTCATTATACAGCTGGTGACAAGATCAAATCGTGCAAGGCTTCATATGGATAGGAAAAGATTGAAAATGCTTTTTTTGGAAAGATTTGGTGCAAGGAATAAATCATTGATCAATCTTCATAAATGGCAAAGATTTGATGCAAACTTTTACCCTAATGCACTCTATTATAGATAGTGAACAAAGGCAGACAAAAAAAAGGGGGGTTGGAAGCGTGAAAAGTCAGAGGAAAAGTTCAAATTTTTCAAAGAAAAAAGTTGATCAAATCTTGCTCTGTAGGCGGTTTCAAGTGTTTCAAAAGAGCAATTCATATTCTTGGATCATCCCTGAAGCCAACAAGATCGTTTGCAAGGCCAGAGACACCCAGAATCACCCTACAACATTTATATGGTTTGCTTAATTTCTTGAAATCGAGTACACTAATTCTTGCATATTTAGCATATTTGATTGGCATATTTATAACCTTTGAGATGTTTGCAACGTGACACCATGATTCAATTGCATTTTTAATGCCTGTATATGGAGATTCCATGGATAGGGTTTGTTCTTTGTTTTAGGGGTTTTTTATACAGGAAAAATTGGGCATTGATAATGGTACCATGATGCTCGTGAGGTTGAAACGAGTTGATTGGTACCATTAGGTTTCATTTATCATGTGCGTACAAGATTTTTGAAATGGACAGGGGCTATAACTATGCTTGATGTCTGTAGGTAAAAGTCACAAAACCTAAAGCGACGGTAGGGAAGAATACGACAATACGTGGTGCTCCCTGACTTGCCAGTTTGAATTCCGCGCGTTGGTTGGCCCCACTAGTTTATTTTTGCATATTATATTTTGTGTTTACTTAACTTACAAGTTAACATCATGGTTCAGATGGCTGGGGCGAAGGTCTTTGATGCACACATCCTAAGTTCGATCCCAGGCATGTGCATTTTGTTATTTTCTTGATTATTCCAAGCAGATCTCATACATTACAGTAGCGCATGTCTACCAAATGCCCATGTGCTCCACCATCAGATCCATCATCCATGTGGATCCAACGTCACGTGGCGAAGAGACCACCATGCGCCTGAGTCAAGCATGCACACGGGATTGAGCAAAGTCAAAAAGGCCAGGATTTTGTTGGGCTCAGAATTTCAAACAACACCCCCCACAATTGCTAATGCGGGCCCATATTTCTTTATTTTTTCTTTTAGTTTTCTTTTAAAAAATCATTCAATATTTATTTTATTTTCTTTAATAGATAAATTAATTCTTTTTTATAAAAAAAATTATAAAATCAACAATAAAAAAATTTAGAATTAAATATTTTATTTTTAGTTTGTTTGATATAATTTGGTTTAACCTAGGAAAACCTTAATTTGTTTTCTTCACAATTAAAATTAAATTAGAGAATTAGGTTAATTTCTTTTTTT